GCTGAGGACGGAACAGCTACAGCTACAGCTACAGCTACAGGGCGTACACGCAAGAAGAAAAAGAGCGCGCGCGAGGTCAAGAAGATGAAGATGGATCTGGTGGGGCATTGGCTGCAGAATGCTACCACCACCACCACCACCACCACCACCACCCACCGCCCCGGCACTCTGGCCGTGGCCGACGACCACGAGTTACAGCGGTGGGTGCAGGCGTATCGCTCCAAATGGCAATCCCCCAGACACCCGGACCCCCGGACTGGCGCCCACGCCCACGCCCACGCCAACTTGCCGGATATCGGCAAGCTGGACGATCTGGCGGACTGCTTGGTGCAGGGGGTCACTTGGCTGGAGTGGCAGCAGATGCGCCACCGTCTCATGGCCAATCCTTCTCTGTTGGACAAGATCTAGCCTAGCTGGTCGCGGTTCGGGTATATATGTACGGTATGAAAAAGTAAATGTATAGTAGACCTACAATACTAGTTATAGCCTCGTGCTACTCCACACCAGATCTACACATACCCGTATATCGAACTTAATTCATTTCGTGTCTAATATCCGCTGTCATAAGCAAGATCGTCATCGGATGGTCGTCAACCCCACTTAGAATCTATTCTTCACATAGATACAGATGTCCCCGAGAGCGAACACATGCCTAACATTCTCGTCCGCTCCAGCTAGGGACTCCCCCAGCCCGGCCCGTCATCATACAAAAATCCATGTCCCATGAGAGGTTCTCACAGAGAAACTAAATGAAGAAACAGCTTCGTTGGATAACGGGGTAGGACCGGGACGGATGCCACAAGATTGGAACAACCTGAGTACCTAGCCGGATGGACGAGAATGGAAGATAGACTAGGTGGAGAAAGAAGAAGAAAAATTGTCAAGTTTGTACCAGAAACATAAATATCGAAATCCTCTCATAGGTACAAGGCCAGCGCAAGCTTCACGCCACGGGTTCAATTCCTAGTACAGTCGAACGCGCCAGGCTAAGCCCTTAGTAGACGCGACGGAAGTGCGAGGGGAAAGCCGCGCGGCTGCTGGTCTGGAAGCCAGTGGGACGGGCAGCACCGCTAGGGTAGGGGAAGGTGCCGTTGCTGTGGCCGAAGGGAGGACGGGGGGTGGGGACCACGGTGGCAGTGCTGGTGGCAGCGGCCTCGGTGGTCGAGGCGCTGGAGGTGGTGTCCTCGGCGCTGGTGGTGGGCTCGGCAACCTCGACGTTGGTGTCGGGGGTGGCGGTGATAGCAGCGGCAGTGGTAGGGGCGACAGTCTGCAACTATGATCAGCATCAACATCATCAACTTTCGCACCGCAAACTTACCACAGTGACAGTGTCGTGGACAGTGACAGTGACAGGAGCGCAGCTGTCGCTGGAGCCGGAGCTGGCGGAGCCGGAGGAGCTGCCAGAGGTGGCGGCAGAGCCAGCGGCACCAGTGGACGAGGGGACAGCCAGGAGGGTGTAGGTGGCAAAGGCGGTCGAGGTCGAAGTGAGGGTAGTGTCCTGAGCACCGGCGCTGGCAGTGCTGGAGCTGTGGGCTCCAGGGGTCTATATCAATGGGTCAGTAGGATTCACAGGCGGCCGATAACACAGCAAACGTACCACATAGACGGTCTGGACGTCAGTCACGGTGCGGTGGACAGTAGTGGTCACCACGGTCTTGGAGGCACCGGCACCCAGAGTGTAGGTGAGAGTGACATCCTTGGTGGAGGTCTGGGTCTCGTACTCGGTGGAGACGGACTCAGCACCCGAGGCAGCGCCAGAGCCAGAGCCGGAGCCAGCAGCAGAGCTGGTAGCTCCCGCGGACTGGGTCACGCCGGTGCCGAGAGGGCCGGGGGCGGAGGTGATGGCCGAAGAGTAAGGGAAAGGAGGCACGGGGGCCGAGGAGTGAGCACCGGGCACCACGGAGGAGGAACCAACGGGGACCACGGGCACGGAGGAGGGGCCAACAGGCACAACCGGGACAGAGGACGGAGCCGAAGGCACAACCACGGCCACGGACGAGGAGCCCACCGAGGCAACAGGAGCCACAGCCTCGGAAGAGGGCGCAGCGGGGACGGGAGCAGCAGTGGTGGTGCCCTGAGGAGCGACAGCCAGGCTAGTAGTGGCAGCAACGGCGGTGGAGGCCGAGCTGGTCGCAACAACGGGCTGGGGAGGCTGGACAGTCGTGGTGGGGAGAGTGACGGGGATCGCAACCGAGCTGGAGGCGGCATCGCGGCCGTGGAAGTGCAGGTTGTGGTGGATGTTGGCCTCGCCAACGGCGGCGAGAGCACCCAGAAGGGCAACCGAGACCTTGGTAGTGAGCTGCATGGTGGGTGATTTGTGGTTTAAAGGGTGGTTTTGTGTGATGTAGGTAGTGGTGGTGGTGGTGCTGTTTGTTGAGGTAGAGACTGCGGGGTGTTGTTGGTCAACGAATGTGAGCTGCGAAATCTATTCGCAACAAATTGGATAAAGAATGACTGGGTTCGAAAGAACGAAGCAACGTCTCTAGCACAGAGAACAGTTGAGAGAGAAAGTAGCAGTCTGACGGAATCAATCCGAGAATTTGGGGAAAAGAGAGTCGTTAAAAAGAAGAGAATGGAGACAGTTAGAGAAAGAGAGACTAGACTAAGAAAGAGAAGAGGAAGAGGGGGGGGAGGAGAAGAAAGGAAAGGAAAGGAAAGGAGACACTAATTCCATCTAATATCTTTTTCTCATTTGATTAACCCACCCGGAGAGTCACGATACACATGAGTTACCAGGCACCGTACCAAGTGAGGGTGAGTTCGGTGAATTAATGCAAGGCCATCTGTAACGTATGGTTGCATCAGCCGATCTTCTGCCTCGTGCACTCAAGCTTAGCCTGTCTCATCTCAGGCCGAACAGGCAGAAAAACCGGGCCGTTGGCAGAAATGGTGATGGGACATTGGGAAATGATATGAATTAATTTCCTGGGACTCCATCGAGTGGGTCTCTGGCGCAGGCACCATCCGTGGATTGGAGGTTCAAAGGCAGCAGAGATGATGGCCCCCGTTTCATCCCGTGGATGCACGACGTTCACTGGCTGTTCTCCCCCTGGCTTTAATCTCGTGTGGGCCGTTTTCCCCGACCAATCGACCGCACGGGGTGCTGTGTTTTTCTTTTTTCCCTCTGTCTACTTGGAGTCTCCCACTGTCCCGGGCTGTAGTTACTCCGTATACAGCACTCACTCTACAGCACTCTACAGGCACAGTCAAAACAAGCAATAGCCAGGAAGGCAGCCTGCAGAAATCTTGTACATCTAATCGAGGGGCCAGAAATGCCAGGTGTCTGTGTGAGGGCGCACCAGCACGTCACACATCCGCCTGATGAGCGATGAGCAATCAGCAATGAGCATCCATGAATCAAGGTCAACAGCTCAATCAGTGCTCAACTCTAAATTGCCAGCTTTCGGAAATGAGCACCAATTTCCATCCTGTACCTTGTCACTGCACCCACGGTACCATACCGACAGAACAATCAATAGTCAAAAGTCAAGACCGACTATCGATCAGCTACCTCCCTCCCATTCTGCCAAGCTCTATCTCACGTATGGGTCCACGCAGTCTGCGTAGCAGTGACGAGGCATTGGGAGGAAAGCGGGGGATCAAGAGCACGGTGAGATACACTCCTAGAGTCTTTAGGGGGAAAATAGGGGGATTAGACACCGCATCGACAGTATCTCGGAGTCATTGTACAGCACTTGGTCCAAGCGTGGGCCATTCGCTACGTGGTGGCGGCCATCGCGAATGGTCAAGCTCGGCGTCAACCGGGCCCGCTGGGTCGCCCGACTATGCGAAAACTTTCTCTAAGCGATTGGGACCGGTACAGTAGGCCTTAGCGAACAAGGCCACTATAAACAGGAGAGGCAATCGCTCCAAGAGGACAACAACAACAAGCAGCAGCAGCAGCAGCACGTATGACAATGACTCGGTGGCTGCCTGCCAGAGGCGTTGGCATCAATGACAGTGTTGATCCGGAGGTTATCACCAGCAGAAGAGATCATTCGAGGATGATCATAAGAGAAGTGGAGCCCCGGTCAAAGTGACCGGGAGTCTAGAGTCTAGACACTATCCCACAGATTGCACTCATCTTAGATTAAATATGAGCAATAACCGCCCTCCTGCACACCAATTTAATGGTTGCTGGATCACGGTGACATGAAATGGTCAAGCAGATATCTCTGGACCCCTCCCCGGGTGTTCACCAGAAATCCAGGGTCATCGACTGCCGCGGATGTTTCAAACCAGAAGAGCTAAGATACTCGGTTGCCTGAAGTTTTGGTGGTTGATCCGAGAAACCGAACAGTGAAGTAGTTACCTACTGTACTAAACACTGACTAAGGGATGATCGCCATCGCGGCTACACTCGCAAAAGACCGCTAGGAAAGAAAATTTCTAACCCCCGAATTCTAGCCCTTCGGATAAAAAATCATTCTGGCTTCATTGCTCGCTCACCGGCCAACACGGCTGATGGATCGAGATGCATGAGCATCGAGATGACTGTGATTGGGATCAGCCCGCGCATTAATCTAGACGGAACACGGTGACCGTCCAGCCCGGCTCACTGGCCTTCCAGCGTCATCCATCGGCCCTGGTGAGATAAGAGTAGGACATGTATTTAATATCGGCTTTGCCGCCACTCAGCCGTGTTGGGTGGGTTGTGGGTTGGACAATCTCCCTCCCGATGAGTAATGGAGGGAACAGTCACTGTTGTGTTGTTCTCCGTGCGTAGGACGATTAGGACGAGTAAGTTAGAGCGCAAGTCTTCAAGTTGCTCTGCAGCCACCCGTCGGAAAGACAAACGCGAGGGAAAGAAAGGGTCCGATGGTTGACTGTCGATCCGCTTCTTTTCCTTCCATGGATTTCGGGCAATTCTTCCCGTTTGTCCCACTCTGGGCGGTCGGCCATTTTGCCGTGGTTTTCGGTTCGGTTGCGGCTCTGAAGCTGCAAGCTGGAATGTTTCGAACTGCCGTGAACTTACCTGCTCTTCTGCCCCTCATTGTTGTTCTTGTTGTTGTTGTTGTTGTTGTTCTTTCTCTTCTCCGCGCATGAAAGCATCTCCAAGAATAGCCACTGGGTCAAACATCGTCTAACGGATCGACTATGGAAAGACCCTCCTTCCAGTCCCTGCAGGCACATTATGCTTCCCGCTTGAAACAGTTCCAAACATCAGATCGGAACTTTGAAGTTCTGGCCTCCGTCTCACCCGACGACCATGACCCTGCTTCCAGTCCCGACGTCTTGTACGTGCTTGACTCCTCTTTCAATCCACCGACGCTCGCACACCGTCGGATTGCCTGCTCGGCTCTTTTAGAGGACACCAGCTGTGCTCCGCGGCTCCTCTTGCTATTGGCGACGCAGAATGCGGACAAACCATCTAAGCCCGCTTCTTTCGAGGACCGCCTAACCATGATGGACTTGTTCGCTCGCGACCTTCTTTCGCATTTACCGTCTGCAAGTCCTCCAGGCACTCGCCAGACCCTTCCAGTAATAGATATTGCCGTCACAAAAAAGCCATACTTTGTGGATAAGGCGGCGGAAATAGAGCGGGCGGGGGTATACCCCCACTCGCTGGAACAAGTCCATCTTACGGGCTACGATACCTTGATTCGCATCTTCGATCCCAAGTACTATCCCCCACAGCACACCCTGCAGTCGCTGGAGCCCTTCCTGTCCCAGCATCGGTTACGGGTGACCTTGCGCCCTGATAGCAGCTGGGGCAGTCGGGACGAGCAGGAGGCCTTTCTGCGGGACTTGGCGGAGGGAAGGAAAGATGACATAGGCGGTAAGCGGGAATGGGCCCAGCGAATCCAGCTGGTGGAGGGACGGAAACCGGGGGCACCATCGGTGAGCTCAACCAGGGCCCGAGAAGCAGTCGCCGCAAACCCCCAGGATCTGGACTGGCTGGTCCCGTCGAGCATACAGGAGATGATTCTGTCGGAACGACTCTACGCGAACTAATCGACAGCGGCCTGACTGGTCAAGCGCATACCCGCTGCTTCGCGCGATTGCGGTCCGCCAGTCGCAACCATTGTAAATCTTTTTTCATACCACGTATACACATAGACAGCGCATTTCAACATTCTGTATGCCAGAAACCAATTTGCTTTTGTCTCAGCGACGACCATAACACCATGCCCAAAGCGACGCCCTCATCCGTGTGTTTGGCGGACATTATCGTACATAAATAAATCTTCGATGGATCTTCAGGCCCTGCAGAATGGGCCCAATCTATACAGTTATACCCATGCCGTCTAATCTTCGTCTTCTTCCCGCTTGCCCAGGGTATAGGCAAGTCCCCCACTCACCATGTTGACCAAGCAAAGACCCATGGTCACGCCGCGCACAATGCCCCGAGCGCCCCATTTCTTCATGAACGGCTGCTTGCGCCGCCCCGCAAGCAGGAGGTAGAGCCCAGACCAGGCGGCGCTGATCCCCGCAGTGTCGGTTTTGAATCCTTGAAGGTTGGCATAGCTCGAGAAGAGAAGGAGAGGAGGGAATAGCATGGGCAGTGGTTGGAACGGGCGCATGTGCTGTGCGGTGATAAGAGAGGCCAGTAGAGTAGGCGGAAAGGCGTTCTCTATATGAAAGTAAGAGCGCGTCAGCTTGCAAGCATCAACAGGAGTGATATCCATGGTCTTGCGAAAATAGCCCAGGCTGTTTTGGTCAGTACTTACCGCCCCATGCTCTAGCTGTCTGGACCAAAGACTTCTCCGTCTGCTCTACTGCGGAGTCCGAACCAGCCATGATTGTGTCAGTGGTGCTTAATCGTGATTCAGATGAGTGGCGAAGCCTATCTTAAACAACAATTAGCCACAGAGAAGAGACGGCGCAACTATGGAAGAGCGACGGGGGTGCGCTGAACGCACCGGTAACAAGTACAGTGAATGCGGAGGTGATGGTAGCAGATGTGAGGAGGGATGACGATCCGCGGCAACGAGCACAAGACAGTCTTTCCTGACTAACACTGCAAGCCACTGTCAACGCTTACCCGGGGCTTAGCGTCAACATTTGAACCTCCAGAACTCACCACGTTTATCAGTCACAGCTGTTGTTGTTTTTTTTTATCTTAGACCCCAACTGGCACGCCGCAACTGAACCAGCTGGCTATCTTTCTTGTCCTTGTGCCTAAGCTGTATCTGCAGCCCTTATTCGATTTACAACAAAACGCCCCCCTCTCTTGTCTTTTTTCGGTCGTCCGCTTCGGCTGCCAGGCCCACCACTGTCCCTCTTCCGAAGATCCACGCCTCGACGTACACTCACTGCGCCCAAGAAACATACAGAACACAAAGCGACGAGCAGCGCATTGCTGCCACTGAGTGAGACCCGAGTCTTCCTGGGGGCGATCGCCGTTTTCCAAAACCTGCTGCTGCGATGCCATCCGCCACCGCATCTGGGGTAGACAATGGGGGTGCTGCGAAATCCCGCGAACACAACCAGGGCAACCAGGACCGCAAATACACCCCGGAGCAGAAGGCGGCCGTCCTGAGGATTCGGAAATGCTCGACCACGGCGTTCTACGAGATCCTGGCGGTGGAAAAGACCGCCACCGATGGCGAGATCAAGAAGGCGTATCGCAAATTGAGTCTATTGACGCATCCCGATAAGAATGGCTATGAAGGAGCGGATGAGGCTTTCAAATGTCGGTTTGGTTGTCTTCTTCCCTTTTCGGGTGTGTTCAACGTAAAACTAACCACCCCAATTGGGGCTGTAGTGGTATCTCGGGCTTTCCAAGTCCTGTCCGATGCGGAAAAGAAAGCCAAGTACGATAAATTCGGAGGGGATCCGGATAGCAGGTTTACTCCCAGCGCGGGACCTTCGGGTGCTTCGCCCTTCAGTGGATTCGGCGGTGGATTCCCCCGGTCAGGCGGCGGCGGCGGTGGTCCGATGTTCGAGGAGGAGATCTCGCCCGAGGAACTCTTCCAGCGGTTCTTCAGCGGTGGCTTTGGCCCCATGGGAGGGGGTTTCGGTGGGACGCATCTGCTCAGTGTCTGGGTGCAAGCGACGGCTAACTCGTGATATGCAGGCGGTCCCCAATTTGTCTTCAACATGGGGGGTGGTCCCGGGTTCCGGGTACATCAGTTTGGAGGCCAGCGGCCTCGGAGAAGACCCCGCGAGGCCAATGGCCAGTCCGAGCCGGCGCCATCACTCTGGTCGACCTTCCAGCAGCTTCTCCCTCTCATTCTCCTCTTCGTCCTTCCTTGGATCTCTTCTCGGTTCTCTGGCACCCCTACTCCGTCCGGTCCCTCGTACAGGTTCGACGCCGCGGTGTCTCCCCACACGCTGCATCGCACGACGCCTAAGCTGAATATCGATTACTTCGTCAACCCGCGAGACGTGGATGACTATAGCGCCCGCAAATTCCGCCAGCTGGACCAACGGGTGGAGGTGGACTACGTGACGAAGCTGCGGTATGAATGTGATAGCGAGATTCACACGCGGGATCGCATGATCCAGGACGCTCAAGGGTGGTTTTTCCCGGACGTAGAGAAGATCAAAGAGGCCCGGTCGATGGAGCTGAAGAGCTGCAAGCGACTTGATTCGCTGAAGGGAAGATACTGATCTGTGGCTCTCATGGCTGCTACACTTGTTCCTATTCGTTCTTGGGCGCGGTTGGCTTCGCATCCGTTGTTTACTAATATCCCATGCAATTGTCCCATGCTATTGGGCTCTACCACGATCAAGCCTTTTTTTTTTTTTTTGAGCTTAGATGTCTATATGTTCTCACGGTTTGTTGATGGCGTTCTATGGGCAAACAATGACTTCTTTTGTTGCGTTGGGTTCGGAATCAGTGTTTTGACTGTTATTGTCGTGGGTGATTGTTATAAGAGTGGATTCTCTCATCACCTAACTTATCAACCATAAGATGTACACTAAGATGCACACTTCAACACTGACCAGTTGACCAGTATTGAATTATTGTGCAATGGATGGGTTCATGATGGAGGATAGATCATTGATGGCGGTGATGAGCCGGACCCGATCGGGGCAAGTGTGTTGTGCCCTGAGCGGGGAGGGAAGATCAAATCCCTCCAACCAGCTTAGTTAATAATCACTGGTTAGTTAACTTAACAATCGACCATGACAGAAAGTCCGACTTAACGACGACGACGACGACGACCGCGCATGCAGAAGTGACATCGACATCCTCCACCCCCAACTTCCGCCTTGTCCTGGTCCTCGGTTTACCCCATCATCAGCCCCTCCTGAGGACTTGTCACATCTCGGTTGCTGGTTTTTCTCTCTTCTTTCCTCCCCCCCACAGTTCTTTCGTTCCATCAAACTCAGCCAAGCACTTTGCAGAAAACCGTGACCCGCTGACCGAGGAAGGTTTTCTGCTGCGGGCTGCCCCGATCAGCATCAGTAGAGATGTCCGATAGCCAGTCTGAAGCGGACAAGGTTCGTTTACTCATCTTTTTTTCTCAAATTCATTCAAGGCCCAATCTCGAATCTAAGTTTCCTCTGACCCCTGTTACCTACAGATCCGCAGCAAGCGCTTGGCAAAGCTAGGAAATCCCACTCCCTCGTCGCCCGTCGACGGCGCTGCGTCGAGCCAGCCCGCATCGCCCTCGCAGCCCTCGCCTGCATCCCGATTCCCAGAGGGACCCCAGTCACAACCACGATCCAATCTGAGCAGCGCCGCTCCTTCACGGGCCTCGTCCCCGCAACCACAGACCGTGCAATCGGAATGGAAGCGGATCAAGATTCAACCCCCCACGGCCGCCAGCGCAGCGCCAGACCGATCGCAAACCGTTACCCCAGTCTCCGGCACTCCCCCTCCACCGAGAGCTGACGAGAGTATCGAGTCCTTTGCCGATCGGACTCTCAGCGCGGCCTTCAAACTGACCTTAAACGAGGCTCGTCAGAAGGATATTCACGGGCAGCGGTTGACCTACTTGCCCGGACTGCGGGGTGAACTGGAGGAGCAAGGCCGTGAGGTCCGCATCGAGCTGTCGGTGCTGGACCAGGCCCTCCTGGAGGCAGCTTCGAATGCTCCCCAGCAGAAGCCGTTGGATTACCTGCTTCCATGCTGGAGGCGGATATCCCGGTTGCACAAAGGGTTCCGTCGGCCTCGCGACGATGACCCGAAATACAGCGTCATCTGTGAAGCCCGCCGCATGTGCATGAGCTACTGCATCTTTGCTATCACCATGCCGGAAATGTTCGGGTAGGTTTGACTCGCCTTTTGGCACGATTAGCAGCTGACACATTCTGCCCCCCCTAAAGGCTCGAGTCGTCTGAAAAGTCGGCCCTCAAACCCTATCTCCTCCTGGACCCGGAGGATGACAAAGGTGTGGATTTTGAGTTCATCGGCGAGGCTGTGGGCAGGTTCAATGAGGATGAAAGCATCAAGCCGGCCTTCATTGCTGCTGTGGAGGAAATGAGCCAGGAGCTTGCAGGCCTGACCATCAACAATGATTACAAGCCCTATCTCACAGTATGTTGATCTCTTCTCTTCACCGTGGGCGCGTCTCATCAACCTGTTTGCAGGCTTTGCGGAACCTCGTCCACAATGCGGCCATCGCGGCTGCCATTACTGAGTCGTCCATGTTCAACGAGTCTCGGGATCCAGCTCAGTTCGAAAAGAAGACGCTTCTTGGCCCATGGTTCAGTTTGTCCCCGCTTCAGAGCAGTGTGACCATGACATACTTCTCGAGCCCCAAGACTAGAGATCAATCATACATCCTGAACGCACAGCGGTCTATCCGCATGATGCAGCATATGATTAGCTCGGATCTGCTTGATGTGATCAACCACATGATCCGGGCCTCCAAGGATGCCAGGGATCGGGTGCTAGACTGGTTCGCAGCCTCCCTGAACATCAACCACAAGCGACGGGCTATGCAAGTGGATCCTACTACTGTGTCGTCGGATGGCTTCATGTTCAACATCACAACTTGCCTGGACCAGCTCTGCGAGCCGTTCATGGATGCAAGCTTCACCAAGGTATGAGAGTCAGTCAATTAGTTATGTGCTTTGCGGGTCTGACTCAATTTGTCGTTGCAGATCGACAGGGTCGATGCAAACTATCTACACCGCAAGCCTCGGGTAGATATGAAGGACGAAACCAAAGTCAATGCTGATCAGCATGCCTCGGATGCTTTCTATGCCAAGTCCGCAGAGGGAACGTCCAATTTTATCACGGAGATTTTCTTCCTGACGGTGGCTGCCCATCACTACGGTAGTGAGTCTCTGACTTCCAAGCTCGAGCAGCTCGAGAAAGACCTGCGGCACATGGAGTCCACCATCAACAAGTTCGAGCTGGAGCGGCATCGGTGGTTGAACAATCCAGTGCAGCTCAGAGTATTCGAGCAGGCCCTCAAGAAATACAAGGACAAGCTGGACCTGGGTCTGGCCCTGAAATACAGCTTGCAGGGCGTCTTGTTTGACGATCAATGGCAGGCGCGGTCCATGCTCTTCATGCGATATGTGGTGGTCTGGGTACTGCGGGTTGTATCCGGCACCAACTTTCCCAAGGAGCCGCTCAAGCTTCCCTTGCCTGAGCAGCAACCGGAGGTGTTCCAGTGCCTGCCCGAATACTTCATCGATGATATTGTCAGCAACTTCAAGTTCATCATGTGGGCTATGCCTCAAATCATTACTGCCACTCAAGGAGACGAGCTGGTTATGCTTTGCATTACCTTCCTAGAGAGCTCGAGCTACATCAAGAACCCCTATCTCAAAGCAGGTCTTGTCTCCATCCTGTTCCGAGGAACCTGGCCTCGCCCTGGAGGCGGTCGGGGTGTCCTCGTGGACTTGCTCAACTCCATGCCTTTCGCCAACCAGCACCTACTGCACGCCCTGATGAAGTTCTATATCGAGGCTGAGCACACCGGTACACATACCCAGTTTTTCGATAAGTTTAATATCCGTTACGAGATTTTCCAGATCATCCAATGCATCTGGCCCAATACCCATTACCGCAACAAGCTTTACAACCAGTCCAAGCAGAACCTGGATTTCTTCGTGCGCTTCGTCAATCTTCTGCTCAATGACGTGACCTATGTGCTCGATGAGTCCTTTGGGGCCTTCATCACGATTCACAAGACGCAAACGGAACTGCGCAATGCAGCAGCGATGGAGTCCACCGTACGCCAAGAAAAGGAGGAGCAGCTGGCGGCCGCGCAGCGCAATGCCAAGTCCTATATGCAGTTGACGAATGAGACTGTTTCCATGCTCAAGTTGTTCACGGATGCACTGGCCGATTCTTTCACGATGCCTGAAATTGTGCAGCGATTGGCAGATATGCTCGACTACAACCTGGACGCCATGGTCGGGCCCAAGAGTGCCACTCTGCGGGTGGACAACTTGCAGGAATATGGCTTCAACCCTCGGGCATTGCTGAGCGAGATCGTTGATGTCTATCTGAATCTGACGGGCAAAGAGAGCTTCATTGTGGCTGTGGCACGTGATGGGCGGTCCTACAAGCCTGCCAATTTCGAAAAGGCCGCCGAGATTCTGCGGAAATGGTCCCTGAAGTCGCCCGAGGAGCTCAAGCGGTGGGAGCAGTTCCAGCACAAGGTAAAGGCGGCTAAAGAAGAAGACGAGCAGGCGGAAGAGGACCTCGGGGAGGTTCCTGATGACTTCCTGGGTATAATTGCACTCCTGGCTTCCACTCCAACGGCACTAATGCAGCTTTGTAGATCCTCTTATGTACACTCTGATGGAAGACCCCGTGATCTTGCCTGGGTCCAGGGTGTCTATTGACCGCTCTACCATTCGCTCGCACCTTCTCAGTGATCCTCACGACCCCTTCAACCGAGCTCCGTTGAAAATGGAGGATGTCACACCCGGTGAGTATTTCTGTCGTTGACGATATCCCGGGGGTTCAAGGCTGACTGTTCATCCTAGATACGGAACTCAAAGCCAAGATCGAAGCCTTCAAAGCCGAACGGATGGCGGCGCGCAGGCAAGCTAAGGTGTCTGATCCGATGGACACGACTACTGGTTGATTGCGCGTCAAAAGCAACGGCTTCTATGCAGAGGGCATTTCCGCCGCCCTGGGCCTTATTCTAATTAGCGCTTTTGACCATGAGATGGATTGAGGTTGTCGTTTTCTTTGTTACCTTTACTGAGAAGGGTTGGAGTTTTCTCTTGCGTTGGATTATCATCATAGAATAGCCGAGTTCGGGGGCGGATTCTACAGTACATCGCTACCCGATCAGGGCACCATGGTCTGCATTGCCGGACGGTTTGAACCCAATGATGTGTTATGGTTTTGGAATCTAAGCATGAATGGTAGGCGCAATGGACGGTGATTTATCAGTATGGGTTCCAGTCAACGTATTCGTATTCGAGGGGATAAGCTGTGGCCTGCTTGATTGCAGATCTCCTTTAGTCAGATCTTAGTCATTCACATGATTGAAGGATCACTTGAGTTAGTGACATAACTGCTCGGGCGATGGACTGAAGCATTGCTGTACTCATACAAAGTACAGTATATCGACTTCACCAGTACACCCATCCCGCATCCCGACATGGGAGCCATCCTCTCCTCCTGCTGGGACCATCTTCCTCCTCTGATGGACATTCTCCTCCCCACCCCCGATGTCTATCTCACCTTACTGAACATCTTCCAATACTTCCCGCTGGTCAGTCTGCGATTTCATCTTGTTTGGGGGTTCATGCTAACCACCGCACCGAAGTACAGTTCACCATCATCCAATGGCTAACAGCCTGGCACCCGGCCGGCAAGACCTCCATGAAGAGCTCCCTCTTCAACCTCCCCGGCCGCTGGGCCTGGTTCGCCATGGAGATCGTCAGCCCGGTGAACCTGCTCTACGTGCTGTGGAAGCTGCCCCTCAAGCTCGCCGACGCCCACCGCACCACCACCACCACCACCACCAATTTTGGTTCGAATGCCAATGCCAATGGCTCTATCTCTATCTCTATCCCCCTGCCCAACAAACTCCTCGCCGCCCTCTTCGTCGCGCACTACCTCAACCGCGCCGTCATCTCCCCCTTCCTCGCCGCCCCCAGCATGTCCCCCATCCACCTCTTCATCATGGTCTCCGCCATGCTCTTCAACTGGTTCAACTCGACATGTCTGGCCGGCTGGTTGGTGGGGTACGACCCGGTCTCCCCCTATCACCCTTCCTCACCACCACCCAACACAGCAGCAGCAGCAGGAAAGATAATACCCTCCCTCGGCCTCGCGCTCTTCCTGGCCGGCATGGCCGGGAACATCTACGCCGAACGCACGCTCTTCCGGCTGCGGCGTGAGGAGGGCGCGAGGAGGGCGGCGGCGGCGGCCGCTGATGCTGGTGGTGGTGGTGGTGGTGGTGCTGCTGCTGCTTCCTCCAAAGACCCTTCCCCCTCCCCCTCCCCCTCCTCCTCCTCCTCATCCAATTCCAAACCATCATCACCCCCCTCCACTTCCACTTCGAAAGTGTATGTAATCCCCCCACCATCCACCCCGCTCTTCGCCTCGATCCTCTACCCGCACTACGTCTGCGAATGGCTGGAATGGACCGGCTTCGCGCTCGCGGGGACGGCGGTGCGGTCGTCGGCGGAGGCGGGGATGTTGGGGTTGCGGTTGGGGTTGCGGTCGTATAACAATCCCATCACCACTACGGCCACGGCCGGTACCGTAGCAGCAGCAGCAGCAGCTAGCGGACCCCTCCATCTCGCTCCCTGGCTTCGTCCCGCGGCGCAGCTCGCCGCGGCCGTGGGGCTGCCGTTCCCCGTGCCGGCGGCGGTGTTTGTGGTGAACGCGGTGACCAATATGCTGCCGCATGCGCGGTGGGGGCGGAGGTGGTATGTGGAGCGGTTTGGGGAGGAGAAGGTTGCGGGGAGGGGGGCGGTGGTGCCGTTTTGTGGGTGGTTTTAGGGTTGCGTTGCTTTAGCATTCACGAAGGGAGGGTTGTATTTTGGTTTCAGGGAGGGATGATGATGGGAATACGAAGTTTGAGGGATGGTTTGTATACTACTTGATTAGAGGGGTTGGTTTGTTAGTGTATGCTTAGCCATGTAGAACTAGTCTGGGAGTTTTTAGCGATCGAAGCAATGGCTAAGATACTACGATATGATATTGTGGACTCGTTGAAAGACTAGAATGACTGAAAATCCTTGTAGATCAGCGGAGTTGAGCATCTTTTTACTCGAGTACTACGCTTTTACTAGAGCAAGTACGACGATAGTTCGAAAAGTAAAAATTAAATTGCCAAAGAGGTGGTACAGTAGCAACCTCTTCGTGTGGTATCACATTGTTGAAATATTATGTGTAAGACACCGGCGAAGCACCAGACATCACCGAGCATTCCCGCTGTTAAAAGGCAGAAATAAAGATCTTGGCGCTGATGTTTAATGCAGACGCCGATGTTGAAATCGTCATAAAGACATGTTGAAAACTCCGGGGACCCCATCTAATGAAACCCTGAACCCATATGTTGAACTTTTGGTATCACATCGTAAACTCATCATAAGAAAATGGACGGACAACAATCGACAGATTGTTCTCTCCGAGACGACGGGTTGAAAATCGTCGCCCCAATCATGGGCTGATTAAATATGTAAAAAGAATTTAGTTGCTGTGCTTCTCACGGAAGTACTTGGCAGCCGCGACCATGTTGCTGAGGGCAGCCTTGGTCTCGGGCCACTGACGGGTCTTCAGACCACAGTCAGGGTTGATCCAGAGCTGCTCAGGGCGGAGGTACTGGAGCATCTCCTCGACGCGGTCCTTGATCTCCTGCTCGCTGGGAACACGGGGAGAGTGGATGTCGTAGACACCAGGACCGATGTGGCGGGGGTAGGCCTCGTCGATGAAGACCTTGAGCAGCTTGGCATCAGACTTGCTGTTCTCAATGCTCAGAACATCGGCATCCAGCGCAGCGATGGCGTGGAAGAAGTCCTGGAACTCGGAGTAACAGAAGTGAGAGTGGATCTGAGTACCGTCGGTAACACCAGCAGTGGACAGGCGGAAAGCCTTGACGGCCCACTCGAGGTACTTCTCACGCTCCGTGCCAGCACGGAGAGGAAGACCCTCACGGAGGGCGGGCTCATCGACCTGAATGACCTTGACACCGGCAGCCTCGAGGTCAACAACCTCATCGCGGAGGGCAAGAGCCAGCTGCTGAGCCTGGATAGACTGGTGGACATCGTCACGGGGGAAAGACCAGCGGAGACAGGTGATGGGACCAGTGAGCATACCCTTCATGGGCTTCTTGGAGATCGAGACGGCGTACTTGGACTCCTTGACGGTCATGGGAGCGGGACGAGAGATGTCACCGACAATGATGGGAGGACGCACGCAGCGGGATCCGTAGCTCTGAACCCAGGCGTGGGTGGTGAAGACGTAACCAGTGAGGCGCTCACCGAAGTACTGGACCATGTCATTACGCTCGGGCTCACCGTGGACGAGAACGTCCAGGTCGAGCTCCTCCTGGATCTTGACGACCTCCTCGATCTCCTGCTCAATGAACTTCTCGTACTGCTCAGCGGTGATCTCACCCTTGGTGAACTTGTTACGCTGGACACGAATTTCCTTGGTCTGGGGGAAAGATCCGATGGTGGTGGTGGGGAAGAGAGGAAGCTTGATGGACTTGGTCTGCTCGGCGATACGGGTGGTGAAGGGAGACTTGCGGTTGTGCATCTCCTCGGTGACGGCGGCCTGGCGGGCCTTGACCTCAGGGTCGTTGGTGCGCTTGGAGGAAGCACGGGCCTGGACGGACTTTGCGTTGGCCTCGAGCTGCTCGCGGACAGCAGCAGGGCCCTCGGTAACAGCCTTGGCGATCACAACAACCTCGGACAGCTTCTCAACAGCGAAGCTGAACCAGTCACGGACCTCAGCATCCAAGTTCTTCTCGCTCTCGAGAGTGTGGGGAACGTGGAGGAGAGAGCTGGAGGTGGCAACAATGACGCGCTCCTTGCCGAGCTTCTGGATGGCGAGCTCAACCTTCTCGATGGCAGCCTTGAAGTTGGTCTTCCAGATGTTACGACCGTCAACAACACCAGCAGACAGAATCTGCTTGGGGCCGAGAGCACCGACGACAGTGTCGAGCTGCTCAGGGTTGCGAACAAGGTCAATGTGGATACCGTAGAGGCTCTGGAGAGCAGGAAGAACATCAATGTTGTGAACAATGTCACCGAAGTAGGTGGCAAGGACGAGGCGGGGAGCCTTGTCACCAAGGGCACCGAGCTTCTCGTAGGCGGGCTTGAAAGCAGCCTTGGACTTGGCAGGGAGGTCAAAGACGAGGACGGGCTCATCAATCTGAACATCCTCAGCACCGGCCTCCTTGAGCTTAGCAAGGAGCTCAACGTAGAGGGGAAGGAGCTCCTCGAGCTTGGAGATGGGGTCAATGGTCTGGCCACGGTCGGCCTTGGCGAGGGTCAGGAAGGAGACGGGACCGAGGATGACAGGGCGAGTGACAACACCAGCCTCCTTGGCCTCGAGGAACTGGACAACGGGCTTAGGCTCAGCAGCGAGCTTGAAGGTCTGGTTGTCCTGAAGGGTAGGCTTGACGTAGTGGTAGTTAGAGTCGAACCACTTGACCATTTCCTGGAGACAGTGTTAGCCTTGATCGTATCCAACATCCTATGCAGCGTATCATACCAAAGCGGGAACATCGACAGCGGCCTGATCATCCTTGGCGGGTCTCTGGAGACCACGGCCCATGGCGAAGTACTCATCGAGAGGGTCGAGACCGTACTTGCTGTAGCGCTCGGGGATGACCTATGAAGAAGCATGTTAGCCAAGATTTCTGGGCATAAGGCAGAGGGGCTTAAGACATACACCGAAGAGCTGGATGTGGTCGAGGACCTGATCGTAGAAAGCGAAGTCGTTGCTGGGGATGATGTCGACACCAGCCTGCTTCTGGAGCTTCCAGTGCTCAGCACGGAGTCTCTTTCCCTCGCTCAGGAGCTCTTCACGAGAGATCTTTCCACCCCAGTAAGCCTCAGTAGCCTTCTTGAGGTCACGGAGCTTTCCCATACGGGGGAAACCCAAGACGGAAGACTGAACCATCTTGACGGATGTGTGTGAATGTGTAGGGGGAGAAAGGGAGAGGGTTTGTGGATGGAGTAGTGAATAAGTTGCAAGGCACACAACACAAGGAAGAACAGACAAGAAGAATCAATCCTCTTGCTGGGAGAGAGATGAGAGATAGAGATAGAGAGGGAGAAAAAACACACGGGAGAGATGAAAGAGAAAGAGAAGAGAAGAAGATGGAGGAGGAGGGGGGGATGGAGGGGAAATATAAGCTGGGAGGGGGAGGGGCAGGGGAGGCGGAAAACCTCAGGCTACAACCACTACCTGTACTGCCTGTACTGCCTGTACTGTACCAAAGAAGAAGAAGAAGAAGAGAAAAAAAAAAACATAAAACATCGGAGGCCGAAGGTTTCTTTCTTCTTTCTGACTGGGTCTGGATGGGATGGCGGAAAGTTTGGCGGGGTTTCGTGGCCGGTAATAACCGGTAAAATTACAGCCCCTCCGGACTGTCAACAACCCTCCGATAGCGATTCCCCGGTTGGACATTCAAAAAAGTTCAAGGTTCAACTTGGGTATCTTTGCCTTGATCTAATCGCATTATCAAATCATTGTCCATGGACCGACTGCGGAGAGTGCCCTCCCATGGTATCCCGTGGCCCCTCCGGACTGCACGTTCTCATTCTCATGCATCGAATGCTCATCAGTAAGGCCAATGATTGTCTCGTTTGTCTCAATTGTTCCATGCAAGAAAACTGTAAGGAATGTGTATTGAACTACGGAGAACTACTGGTAAGGACAGTCAATCATCTCGCCGAAGTATGAGGCTAATCCAGCAATTGAATAGTGCCAAATGGCGTGATCAAGTCAATCGCGAGGGAAAAAAAAAACCAAAAAGTTAATTAACCCAGGGTAAATCGTTTGAGTCACAGCCAGTAGTTAAGTTAAGTTAGCCAGTAAGTTAGCCAGTTGCGAGAGACCGGCCGGTCGCAGTCCGGAGAAACCATCGGAGACGGTCTGGCTGCGTCCGCGATCGGCCACTAAAAGCCAGGGCCAGATGCCTATTTGGAGGGAGATTGTAACTTGTAGGTAAAGTTATTCATTCCGGTGACTTTGGTAACCTTGGATGACTATGATTTGCTCCATTCGCGATGTTCTGTGTAAACAATTGCCACTTCAGTAAAGCTCCAACAATCTGACTGATTTCAATTTGTCCGAAGCATCAGCCATGTTGGATAAGGATCCCCGCTTCCATCATTCGGAGCTCCGGCGATTGAGTTCGGAGACCAATTTGTTGTCCGGCGCTGGGAACTTTTACTTGAGCTATGCCCCTCCCCAGATCGCTGCAGTCTGATTGTTGCTTCATTTCGGACACATGCTGGACAGACTTCTAGTCTATACTTAGTGGTAAGCTGTCTTTCCATTCTAATGAATTGGACTCAAGCAAGAATACGAACGCGCCTGCCTCAGTTGGGGTCTGGCGATTCTCACGCCACGCTCCCCCCCCCCCCGCCTTCCCTACAGTAGCAACTCGAGATGATTGCAAAGGTAGTCATGGGAGGCTTGGTCTTCTCCATGCTCGTGCGCTCATGGGTCACTTCATGGCTTCAATTGCCACAGTCGCCATCTGATCAACACTGCTGAACACTCCGCGGCGGTCATCGACAATGGGGATTTTCTTTTGCCCCCGACTCCGCGCGTACTGGAAGAAACCAGACCCGCCAGGAACGGGGCCTGCGTACCCACTGCATCCAGTCACTTCGCCTCCAAATGGAGCTGTGGAAAGTGGTCAGGGTAGTGGTACAGCGTGACTCAAATCCTGCCTGTAAACTCATCTGTTAACGGTTCGCTCGTGATAGCTCATTTCACCTCCAGAGAGGATGCCGTTCGCTTCTCCTCCTCTGGGACCTCCGCCGGTGGCTTGTCGGAAAAATTACGCAAGCGGTTCTCGAGAGAACACAAAGGCCTCCATGAAGCCCCCACGAGGGCCGCGAGGAAATCGGGACCCTCTACCTTCCGCGATCCGTCGAGATTTGCCAGTAATCGGCTGGACACCATCTCCCCAGTTGGTTTTGGCAGCAGTTTGATGAGCGAGAGGG